TGCTTGGGAGGGTGGAGGGACAGCGCAGGAGGGGAAGACCCTCTATGAGATGGATTGATTTGGTGACTGGGGTAATAGGGATGGGTGTGTCGGAGGCGGTGAGGTTGGCGCAGGATAGAGCAGGGTTTAGGGCTGTTGTGCATAGGGTCGCTATGAGTAGGAAACGACATGAAGGCACATAACAACAACACAAGAACTTTACCCACTAGCTCTGGCTTTCTACTTCGGTTTACACAATAAGGCCAGCTACCTGCTTATTGTTTCTCAGCATTCCACAGTATTAGAATGATCTCAAAATGAAACAAAATTCTGATCCTGCTACTCGAAATTTAACATTGCCTTAAGACCTTTCCGGATGTCAGCCCAGAGAGGAAAGCCCCAACTTTCTAGAGCTGTTCACTCCTCAAACGGTTCACTCGACATTAACCAAAAATCTTGGAAAATTTCTCCACTAAACCATGTCAGCATTTCTCTTCCATGTTTCACTCTGTCCCTCTAGATTGTTTCCTGTGTGCAGGGTCCACTTTTCGTCCTATTTTTATCCCTGGAGGCTTGCACAGTGCCCACCGCTTTGTAAGCATTTCGGTAATTGGTAATTAAGTGCCTACAACGCGCCAGTCTTCTTTTCAGGCATTGCGGTGCAGCTGTGAAGAAAGCACTTAGGAAGCCTTTAAGAACGGAGATACGCAAGTGGAGGAACAGATACATTAATTTCTAATGGAAGTTAGTACTATAGAGAAAAACGGCAAATTAAGTGCTTAAAAAATCCAGGAAAACTACTCCAGGTGAACCAGGTATACTACACATTGCTACGAAAACTACAAACTCTGCTTGGGAAAAATCGTCACAGGGCTGACCTGGATTTTTATTGGGTAAGACTGACGTCACTTAAGGAGGGGCGTTGCTTTTACGGTGACGTCTTCGGCGGCGGATTTTTAGGGACGCGGTGGGAGGCGGGCAAAGAAGTAGGGCACGGGAGGGCGGGGTGGGAGGCGGAAGGGGCGGGATTGGGGAAGTTGTTTCAGTGAGCCGTTTCCGGCTCACCGGAGTGGGCCGGAAGTTGTTTCCCCGAGGAGTCAAACCTGGACTGTGGTGCTTGGAGTGCGGTTGCTTCTGATACTGTGACCATGGGCGGGAAGAACAAACAGCGGACCAAGGGGAACCTGAGGGTGAGTGCAGGACGGCCAGTGGCACCAGACGTCTGCCCTTCGCAGCCCCTGATTTCGCCATGCACTTAGTCGAAAGTATTGAAGTGGTGTTGCAGGGGAGAGTGTGTTTGTGTTTCGGGTGTGACCTCTGTTGTGTGTGCTTCCCAGTGGCGCGTGTTCACTCTGAGCACATTGGGGCTTTGTGAGAGAAAAGATATTCCACGCCTTGAACCATCAGAGCAGTTTGGGAGCTTCGACTGGAAGGTTACCTGAAGTGGTTAAGGAGACCCTGGTGCTGGGAAGGAGGGGAGCTTGTGAGGATAGGGAGTTAAAATGAGCTTTGTGTGCAAATTCGGCTTCCCACATTCCTTAGGTAAAGGTTACAGAGTTTTCGTGGTATTGAAGATGTGTGGTCGCTTCGGCGCCTCTTTCCTTGTCCACCTCCCTTTTTGCTCACTCCATCCAGAGGCATTGGCCTCGGCGAGCCTTGACCTTGCTTGGCATGATTCCTCCAGCCTCTTGTATCTGATGACCCTCTCAGGTTTGCTCTAGACACCTGTATGAGGCCTCCTGTGATCACCTTGTTTTAAATTGCACCTCCTACCTTTTGTCTGCTTTTTCCCCCCTCTGTTGCCTTTATGACTTCAAGCGTGTCATATTGATTCACTCGGATCAAGTACTTTAGGTGTACTTATTCACTGCAGTGCCCTCGCAGCATAGAACAGGGGCTGCCATATGGTAGAAACTCAGTAAATACTATAAAGAACCTAAAATAGATGAAATATATACGAACAAAGATGTTATACTAGAGCTAAATATGACATGACTTCTATCCATCCTATTTCTAATTCAGTTCTTGTTAGTTCAGTACTGTACTTTCTGAGCTCTGTCCCTTGGTCTTTGCAAAATAGTATCAACAGTAACAACAGTAACAGCGGCTGTATTATGCCATGTGCTTTTACTTGTGTTCTTACTGGTTAAAATTTTGTCTCACTTTACTTTTGAAAAACTTCAAAATGAAGATATGAAAGTTGGAAGAGTAGTAGAGTGATCACTGATACTCTTTTTCTAGATTTATCCAAATTGAAGTATTTGGCTGTGTCCTCTTTCAGCTTGTTAATATTTGGCCACATTTGCATTACCTGTAAAATATATGCGTTTTGCTTAACTGTGTGAGAATTGCAGGTGTCATGCTGACTCCTTACAATGTCTAAAATCGTCCTAAATGCCCTTCCTCAAGTCAATTTGTATGCCTTCTTGTTTCCTCTTTTATTCAACAAACTCGTTTTCTTACAGGTAAGGAGGCTAGAAGTCCAAATTCAGGGTGCCAGCTCTAGAGACGCTCTTCTCCGTTCTAGAGGAAAGGTCCTTGTGTCCTTCAGCATCTGTAGACATTGAGTTCTTGGAGATATCCATCCATCGGTCTTTGCCTTTCTTGGTCCCAAGGAACTTCCTGTGGGGGCCCAGGACTAAATTCTATTCCTGGTCAAGTCTTTTGTGTGTGTGTGTGTGTGTGTGTGTGTGTTACTAAAGGTCCCCTTTTCCCATCTCCTACCCTTCCTATTAAAAAAAAAAATTATACTGATTTGCATATAAAATTTGTATACATTGCGTTTCATTCAGATGCATTGTGTTTCACACATTCCTTCATTCACGTTGTGTTTCATAAGATTATTGCTATACATTATGTTTTATAAAATTAATCACCGTTTATCTATGCCTCCTGTTACCTCATCTTTTCAGGTCCCCATTGGATCTTTTCTAATTCCTTCACTGCTTCTCTCTACTTACCAAACTGACATTCCAGTGCTGACCCCCACCCTCAGCTCCTCACGCTTTGCCCTATTCCCCTTCCCCTTTTAGACTTTTCTACACATCTTACCTGGTGCCTCTATTTTTACAATAACTGTCTTAGGCAGTATTTGTCTTTATGAGATTGAGTTCATGCAGCATAATGTTTTCTAGGCTCCCCTGTTATATAGTATGAAATCACTACTCCTTAGTATTCTATAATATTCCATTGTGTGAATGTACCATAATTTCTCAATCCATTTATTTGTTGATGGACATTTGGTCTGTGCCATTTTCTTGCTGTTCCGAACAGTGCTGCTGTGAATATGTTGTTGTTATGTGCTGTCAAGTTGCCTGCAACTCATAGTGACCCTGTGTACAATAGCCCTAAACCCTGCTCTATCCTGTGCCAATCTCACTGTCTCCTGACACACCTACCCTGATTACCCCAGGCACTGAAACAGTCTACCTCATAGAAGGTCTTCCTCTTTTGGACTGTCTCTCCACTCTCCCAAGCATAATGTCCTTCTCCAAGGACTGGTCCCTCCTTGCAACATGTCCAAAGTATGTGAGATGAAGCTTCAGAATCCTTGCCTCCAAGGAGCAGCCTAGATTCACCCTCTCTAGGATGAAACTGTTCATTTTCTTAGCAGTCCATGGTATACTCACTACTCTTCTCCAACACCACAGCTCAAAGGCATCAATTCTCCTTCTATTATCCCTAGTCATTGTCCAGCTCTCTGATGCCTAGCAAATGATTTCAAAGACCATGGACTGTATCAGGTGCACCTTAGTTTCCAGAGTGACATCATTGCTCTTCAGTACTTTGGAGCGGTCTCTACCAGCAGACTTCCCCATCACAATATGTCTTTTGATTTTCTGGCTGCTGGTGCCAAGAGTGTTGACTGTGGAGCCAAGCAAACTAAAGTTGTTAACAGTCTCAATCTCTTCATCATCCGTCATGATGCTGCCAGTTGGCCCAACGGTGAGAATCTTTGTCTTCTTGATATTGAGCCTCAATCCATATTGAAGGCTGCAGTCCTTGATCTTCTGTAGCAAGTGCTTCAGGTCCTCAGTTTAAGCAAGCAGGGATGTGTCATCTGCATAACACAGATTGTTGATGAATCTTCTTCCAAATCCTGATGCCACATTTCTCCTTATAGAGCTCAGCCTCCTGGATAATCTGTTCTGCATACAGATTGAAAAGGTGTGGGGATAGGACACTCCCTGGCATACACCCTTCCCAATTTTGAACCATTCAGTGTTTCCGTGCTCTATTTTGACGACTGCCTCCTGGTCCAAGTACAGGTTTAGCATTAGCACGATCAAGTGTTCTGGGATTCCCATTCCTCTTAGAGTTAGTCAGAGTTTGTTGTGAACCACAAGTCAAACGCCTTTGCATAATTAATGAAACACAGGTAGACATTCCTCTAGTACCTCTTGCTTTCAGCAAAGATCCATCTAACATTAGCTATGATATCCCTAGTACCACAGCCCCTTCTAAACCCAGCCTGCACTTCTCTGTTGATGTGCTGTTCCAGTTGTTTTTGGATGATCTTTAGCAGAAGCCTGCTGGCATGTGATATTAATGACATTGTTTGATAATTTCCACACTCTGTTGGATCACTTTTCTTTGGAATGGGAACAAATATAGGTCTCTTCCAGTCAGTTATGTCAGCTGTGAATATAGGTGTACACATCTTCATTGTTGTCTCATTCTATTTTTCTTGGAATCTATTCCTAGCAGTGAAATAAGTAGGTTAATAGGGGATTCCTTTATTTAGCTTTTTTTTTTTGGCATTCAGAAAATGCCAAACTGTCTTTTTTGAGTGGTTGTACAATTTTACAATCCCACTAACAGTATATGAGAGTTTCCATCTCATCACATCCTCTCCAACAATTATTGCTTATTGTCCTATTAAACTTTTCCACTGCTACTGTGGTGAGATGGTATCTCATTGTGATTTTTATTTGCATCTCTCTTATTGCCAGTGAGTTTGAGCATTTCTTCATGTGTCTGTTAGCCATCTGAATTTCTTCCTTTGTAAAATGTGTGTTTTTTTGCCCATTTTGTGATTTGGTTGTCATCCTTTTTCTTGTGGAGACTCTGTAGCCTTCTGTGAACTTTCATTGTAAGACCCTTGTCTGAGATGTCATTGCCAAATATTTTTTCTTTTTTCCATTTGGTAGGTTTTCTTTTCACCGTATTAGAAAAAGGACTTAATCTTTAGAAGGTCTCATTTGTCCATGTTATCCTCTCCTGGTTGTGCATCCTCTCCTTTTTAAGTTCTTAATTTTACCACTTTTCTCTTATTTTGCTTTGAGTGAAATTTCTAAAGTACCTTTTTCATTCATGTAGTCATACATATTTTGTTTTATAATGCTACCTTCTGTATGTATTCTACAGTGTAATCTCATTTTTCTCACTTCCTCCCAGTAATCTGATTTCCATTCATACTTCTATACCTCTCTTTGTCTTTCCTTTTTTTATTAATGCTGTGTTCCTCTATTGTATAATGTCCAGGGACATTGCTGTCATGAAATGGGTAATTGATACAGAAAAATCTCAAATGTAGAGTTTTTGTTTTTAGTCTTATTTTTTTTCAGTCACCTCTTTAACTTTAAAAAAAAAATTAAAATATTTGGAAACATCCATGATACAAGATTTTGATCCCTTTGATCTAGATAATTTCTTAATATTTTGTTAATTTGGTCCTGTCTTTATAATATTGATGATTTTGAGAAATCCAGCCCAATTATTTTGGTTCATTTAGCTTTGTCTATTTGTTTCGTTAAGCTTGGGGACAAGTTAAATAATTTTTGACTACAATTTTTGATGGATGATCTGTCTTTGTCTTGTATCACACTGGGAGCCACATAGTACCTCTTGTTCCCATTATTAGTGGTATTTTCTTTATTTCGTTAAAGAGATACTCATTGTAAAGATGCATTTTTCTATTGGCTGCTCACAATGTGTGGGGCAATCATTTGAGACTGTAAGTAGACTAATCTTCCACAGACTTTAACCCATCATTTTAGCATTCTTTGATGGTCTGTTATTATTACATGGAGTAACAATTTATATGTAATCTTCACAACAACTTAATAGTGAATCTCTTTATTATTATCTTATTTTAAAGATGATAGAACTGTAAGTTAGAGAAGTTCATTAACTCTCTTAAGGTAATGTCAAAAAAGCAATGGCATTGTAGGAGTTAAGTGCCATATTATCAGTTAAAAGATCAGTGGAGAATGATGTGGCATAGTAGTCTTTCCCTGTAAAGATTTATGGGCTTGAAAATTAGGCAATACTACCATGTCCTTTAGGGTTGCTATGAGTCAGAAATAACTTGAAGGTAATGTACTTGGTCCATGCTCATGTTGCTAAGTTGTGGAGATGGTGTTTGACTTCATATCACAGTCAGTCACTTAGCTTCCTCTTTCCATCCCATTGAGTCAGAACTGACTCATAGCCGACCCTCCATTGGGTTTTCAGAGGCTGTAAATCACATGAGGAGCTTAGGGGACCATTTGCCCTTGGAATAGCAGCACGACTCCTTACCCATGAGACTACCATGTATTCAAAGAAGACAGGCAAATTATTTTTCTTAAGGGAGTACTAATTTGATGCTAGATGTTGACAAGCAAATTGTTATAGAGCATTAGGAATGACACAAGTGTGAGCAGAAAATATGAGAAGAAACAATAGGAGTAGATACTGACTTGAAGAAGGGCAAGTTTTAGAAATGTGAGTATATTTTGCAGGATGACAAAGAGGAAAGTGGAAAGAAGATTTTAGGCTGACTGATGAATAGCATATTCAAGAAACTTGAGACTGGCACATGAATGATGACAGCAGAGTTGGGGGAGAGGAATTGCAAAGGAAGAACAAATGGCAAGAGAGAAAAATGGAGAGATGGAAGCCAGATGGTGAAACATCTTTTCATTCTTGCTAAATTTTATTTTTAAACTGTAGTCTAGAAATTGCCATCTCTAATACTTTTAGAAACCAGGCACAAATAATAAGTTAAAGAACAGGATAGTTTAACTGCCAGAAATAGAATCAAAGCTTTAATTTTTATTAAACTTGCAGGCATAAACATCTAACAAAAGATAACAACGATATTTTAAATTTAAAGTTTTTGTTGTTAGATACTGACCCTGTGTGATGGAGTGTGCCTATAGTGTTTTCTAGGTTGTAATTCTAGTGTAAGGAATTGCACTGTCAACCTAAAGGCATACAGTTTGAGTCTGCTAGCTGTTCCCTGAGAGAAAGATGGGCAGTTTCCTCTTGTGTGATTTACTGCCTCTGATAACTGCAGGAGCGTCAGCTATGAGTCAGTTCCGACTTGCCAGTGCACAGCAACAGTCTTAATGAAAGTAGATTTCTAGACCTTTCTCCTAAGGAGCTACTGAGTGGCTCCTTTCGTTTAGTTTCTGAGTGTTTAACGATAGCACCAACCCCTAATGCTGTTGAGTTCATTGGAACTCATAGCAATCTTATAGGACAAAGTGGAACTATCCTGGGAACAGAGTTACAGGGTTTACAAGGCTGTAAATCTTTATGGGAACAGACTGCCTTGTCTTTCTTATAAAGAACTCCAGTGTGGGCTTGAACCACCAACCTTTTTACTAGGAGTCTAGTACTTATCACTCAAACAAAAAAAAAACACCAAAAAACCCTGCCAAACTCGCTGTCTTTGAGTTAATTCCATACTCTGTGGTGTTGGATTAGAGTATTGAATATACCATGGACTGCTAAGAAAACGAACAGGTTTGTCCTTGGAGTCAAGGATTCTGAAGCTTCATCTGACATACTTTGGGCATCTTACAAAGAGGGACCAGTCCTTGGAGAAGGACATCATGCTTGAGAGGGTGGAGGGACAGCGCAGGAGAGGAAGACTCTGGACGAGATGGATTGATTCAGTGACTGAAATAATGGGGGTGGTGGGTGTGTTGGAGACGGTGAGATTGGCACAGGATAGGGCAGAGTTTAGGGCTGTTGTACATAGGGTTGCAATGAGTAGTAGGTGACTCAACAGCAGATAACAACACCACCACCACTAAGTATCAGAGGGCGTTAAATCTTTATGAGGGGAGGATTGCCGTTTTTCTTTAGGGAGCAGTTGTTGAATTCATACTGTTCTTCCTGTGGGGTTGCTTTGAGGTAGAATTGATTCATTGTGGTTGGGTAGTAAGAGTGGCATTATTTTGGTGGGCCAGTTGAACCATTTTCCCCCTTACGTGACATTGATAAAACAAATTTCTTTCAAAAGTTCAAATATTCTCTTTCTCTCACTACTAAACTCATATTTAGTACTTAGAGGTGACTCTATTGTGTACTAGTCTAACAAATCACTGTGGTCTAAAACAAAAGAGGGTGTCTTACCTCTTAATCCTCATATTAATTTTTACATGTACAGCATTGCAATTTATTTTTAAAATTTTCTTTTTTATTATTTTTATTGATATTTCAACAAAAGTTTAAAGAAAACTTGGATTTCCATTCATTCATTGTTTTACATTTTCCTCCCTATCCCCTCCAGTTTACTTTTCTCTTTAAAAAGTTTCTTAATTTATAACCTCTTTAACCTCCAATAGATGTTCCCACTGTCAACTCTAGAAGCATCGATCCCTTGGATTTTCCCCATGGTGATCCTGTGTGCGCGTGCGCGCGCATGTGCATATGTGTAGTATGCACATATTGTTGTGTACCATAGAGTTGGAATTGGAATTGACCCATAGCTGACCCCCTGGCGAGTTTTCAGAGGCAGCTAATTGCGCGGAAGGAGATTGCTTATTTGTCTCCCATGGAGTTTATACATATGTATAATAAATTGAAACACATTGGTTAAACTCTGGACTCCTAACTAAAAGTTTGACAACTTGAAACCACCCAGAAGCAGCTGGGAAGACAAACTTGGCTGTCTGGTTTTGAAAATCCTGTGGAACAGTTCTTTGAACACATGAGGATACTAAAAGTTGAGATCAACGCAGTAGTAATAACACATAGAGGAAGAAAGGAATGACAAATATGATCCATTTTTTAAGTTAATATTGTTATATAAAAAAATTCATAAATAGTACTTGTTCTTACCATGTGATATATTCTGAATTTTTTTAACCTTCTGATTTTTAAAATTTTATTTAATTTCTTTATAATTCTGGTCATGACTCCTGAAATTGGTATCATAAGCCTCTAGTGAGTTGCAACAGAAATTTACACTCTTTTTGATGTTTAGAAAACAAGAAGTAGGTTATACAATGGTTATTGATAATTTTTGAAGGCTGACACATTGGGGGAACATTGCACCAGATGAAGCCTAATGGGGGGGGGATTCTGAAGTAAAAACTTTTTCCTAAAACTTAAATTTTGAACTTTTTAAATTTTCCTCCCCTTTTCTTTCCTTATCAGCCTTCAAACAGTGGCCGAGCTGCCGAACTCCTTGCCAAAGAACAGGGAACGGTGCCTGGATTTATTGGTTTTGGAACATCTCATAGTGACCTTGGCTATGTACCTGCCATTCAAGGGGCTGAAGAAATAGACAATCTTGTTGATTCTGATTTCCGAATGGTGCTGCGGAAACTTTCCAAGAAAGATGTTACAACAAAATTAAAAGCAAGTTTTCTTATTTTCCTTGAAATAATCTAGAAAATTCTTTTGTTTTAACAAAAGAAATTCTTTCGTTAAAATGTCATTAACATTTTAGATAAAGAAAAAATTAGCAATAAATTGCCACCAATCAGTTCCTTTATTGTTGTAATTATTTTTGACTATACATAATTGTCACTTGCCCTCTGGGTAGTAGTTTGTTGCTATGTATTTTTTTTTTTTTAATCTATATGGAATGTTTTTACTGTGGTGTTTATCATAATTGGGAATAAAGTTCTAAAGAAATTTTGTTTATAGGAATTTCATTTTTTAAAATAATTATTTCTACATAGTACAAATAGCAGTAGCATAGTTTTCTGTCACCTAAATAGACTAAGCTTCTAGAACATAAGAAGTGTAATTAATAAATACTATAATTGTTAATTAACTGTTAATTTATCATTAGGCAATGCAGGAATTTGGAACAATGTGTACAGAGAGAGATACAGAAGTTGTAAAAGGAGTTCTTCCATATTGGCCAAGAATTTTCTGTAAAGTTTCACTTGTAAGTGTTAAAATGTCTGTGATGTAAAAAAAAAAAAGTCTGTGATGTATTATTACTTTGTTGTTGAAGTCATTAAGATGCTCACATTTATATGATTGATTTTTGGGGAAGTACATGCAAAATGTTAGGCAGATGTGATTGTGTAGGTAGGGCTTATGTTTTTAGAGACTAGGTTATAAAGATTTGCTAGATGTTTTTCAGTCATTGCATTTTTACCATTATTTTCCTTTATTTCTTTGTACACTTATTAAAGAAGAATGAAAACAAATTTTTTATTCAGGGCCCAGCCTTGAATCTGATATAGTATGTCGTATCATGGATAAGTTGTTAGGTGCCACAGAGTTGAGTACAGCTCAGTGACCCTGTAAACAACAGATCTGAACCCTTTCCCATCCTTACCTCAGATGCATGTCGTTGTGTCAGTTCACCCCACCAGGGGTCTTCATGGTTAGGAGGGGATGAAAATATAATCAACTATTTGACATAATTCCAGATTTGCAAAAACAAGTTCTTGATATTTTGAAAAACTCATGTTAGTTCACCTATGTAGGTAGGTGGATTCTTAGTTATGGGTTATTATAATATATCCAGAAATGTATACTCATATTAAGGAGCATGAAAGCTTTTTACTCTTGGCCAGTACTTTTGCTGGAATGAGAAGTTATCAGTTGTATATTTTCTAGGATCATGACCGCCGGGTTCGGGAAGCCACACAGCAAGCTTTTGAGAAACTCATCCTTAAAGTAAAGAAACACTTGGCTCCCTACTTAAAGAGTTTAATGGGTTATTGGCTGATGGCTCAGTGTGACACATACACACCAGCTGCAAGTGCAGCAAAAGATGCATTTGAAGCAGCTTTCCCCCCAAGCAAGCAACCTGAAGCCATCGCGTTTTGTAAGGATGAAATTACAAATGTAAGTTCTTCAAAGTCTCTGCTTATGATTTTCTTTTTTTTTTAAATTCTTTTTAATCTATAAAGGGTGAAGGTGTATTACAATAATAGTTCTTTTGCCTAACTTGGAGCAGGAAGGCTGAGTAAGTGATTTTCAAATAATAGATTAACTTTTTAAAAATAGTGTCTTAACAAAATTGTTGTTGTTGTTTGCCATCCTCATAGTGACCCTATGATCAAAAGGCCTGAAGCCTTTTCTATAACTGTCTACATTTATTAAAGTTCATAGTTTCCAGAGTCATAAACATTTTAAATTCTCAACAAAATTAACATGCTAGATTGATTATTTCTAACATACTTAAATTTTCCATCTTTAATTTCTAAATTTTCATTTATTATACCTAAAAATTTAGAAATATATGCTTTATAAGATATAATCTAAAAAAAGTCTCAAAATAAATTGACATAACATGTTTTCCCCATGTTTTCTTATGAGTATATACATACAAATGTGCCTTATTCTTTGTGTTAGCATTTGTTGAATATATATTTTAACTCATTTTGCTTGGCTTTCCTCAATTTTAAAAATTTTTTAAGTTATAACCCTGCTTCACTGAATGTTCTTGAGTTGTTCATGACACCCTTCTGAGTGATAATTGCTATAAATAGATATATTGGATTAAAGGATAAGAGCATTTAAAGTTTTTTGGTTTTTTTTTTTTTTTAGCATTTAAATTTTTTGGGTGTATATAAATTGCCCTTCAGACAATAAGTCAAATTTATACTCATATTAAGGAGCATGAAAGCTTTTTACTCTTGGCCAGTACTTTTGCTGGAATGAGAAGTTATCAGTTCTTTTGTTGTATTTGATATGTCTGTAGCTAATAATACTTCCAGTATTTAAAAACAAAAGAACAACACAAATTAGCAACAAAGCTTGTTAGAATATATAAAAATGTAAAAGTAGGTAGACTGAGTGAGTCAAGAATTAGTAGTACTCTTGTGTTTCTATAGCATATAAACCTGCCTAAACATCTCTTCTCCTGCCCTCCCTTTCTTAATCAGTTAGCCCCCTCCCTTAACTTCTCCTTGTGTTTATAAATCCACATTCCTTATCTTGACCTGAAGGTCTGGCCTAAACATCTCTTCTCCTATCCTCCCTTCTTTATTTCAGTTAGTAAACCCTCTCTCAGAGCTTCTCATTGTGTTTACAAATCCACATTCCTTATCTTGACCTGAAGGATTGGCCTCTACTTACCTAACACCTCCTTTCCACTTAACTTCTTCCCCCTTACCTGAAAGCCTTCTTGTTGTGTTGTTAAGTCTGTCAAGTCATAGACTCCTAGCGACCCTATGAATGAAAGACTTGACTGAAAACTTGTATAATGTTCATTATTTCTCCAAGTTCATAGAGTTTCTGGAGGCAAGCTATTTCTGAAGTGAATGCCACTCCTGCTTCCAAGCTTGGTTTAATCAGGAAGCTCCAGCAAACACTGTCCACCATGGGTAACCATTACCACATTTGACACATCGGCGTCACAGTGTTTTAGCATCATAGCAACCACTAGTTACCTCTGGACAGCAGTGCATAGACCACTGCTATACCACCTAGAAGAATGTTTGATCAAAAACAGTTATAACCAGACCTGAGGGCTACAGATTGAAATCACCCACCTTTGATTTGGTAGCACTTTCTATCCACCAGGCCCATGAAAGTTAAAACAACCACCAAGCCTTCTTACACATCTTTTTATCTCTCATTATTTTTGAGTCAGAACTGACTCTTAGCTGCCCCCTCCAGGGGTTTTTCAGAGATTGTAAATTGCATAGGAGGGGATTATCCATTCCCCCCCCGACCCCCCAGAGGGGTATTGGTGGATTTGAATAACAAGAGAAGTTCTACCTTTAGATTTGCAGCACAACCTGCTACTGACAAGGTTACCAGAGCTTCCTCTTACATAATCTAGTTTTCCATTTATATTCATGGTTCTTGATTTTGTTATGAATGGGTAATAGATCATATGGGTTATTTTTCTATTTAGTTAGCTATGCCCCAGTTCATACATAGGGTTTTCAGAGGCCTGCTATTTCAGAAGTGGATGGCCAATCCTTCTTCCTAGTCTGTCTCAATGTGAATGTTCAGATTTAGAGAAGTATTAGACAGACCAGCAAGTTAAAGGTATATCCCTTATTGCGGAGTTAACTTTAGTGTCAGTGTTGTCCCTGCCTTTCTCACATGCACCTTTACGCACTTATTTCCTGCTTCAAGATCCCACCGGATATCCATCTACTTCTACCCCCTCCCTTCACATCTGTCTCCCTTTCACCAGCCCTCCATCTAATAACTTACATATGAGGCTTCCATGGCTTCTGTGATTTCAAACACATCAGCTGATGGTAGTTCCTTATGTTGGGATCAATGTCTCTGAAGTTTAGTCGCAATATTTATCGGTCAAAGGTGATGCATCCTGTACAATTGCTGTGTAGATAGGCTTTTCTTGGCCCAAGGGCCGCAGGCTCTGTTTTGACCTTTCTGCCGGAACGGATGTCACGGGCTTTTTGGCGTCTACAATTACCTGGGAAAATAGGGTGGGTCTGCGGGGTCTGCTGGCTGTCCTGTGAGGTGCCCAACTTCAGCTAGTCAGAGCCGAGCCAGGAAATTAAAAGGCGCATTGCCATGGGAAAGTCTGCTGTTAGGGACCTCTCCAAAGTGCTGAAGAGCAGTGGTGTCTCTCTGGAGACTAAGGTGCGTCCGATACAGGCCATGGTCTTCGCAATCACCTATTATGCATCAGAGAGTTGGACAATGACCAAGGAGGATAGAAGGAGAATTGATGCCTTTGAGCTGTGGTGCTGGAGAAGAGTATTGAGAATACCATGGACTGCTAGGAAAACAAACAGATTTGTCCTGGAGAGGGTTAAACCGGGTGGCTCCTTGGAGGCAAGGATTCTGAGGCTCCGTCTAACTTACTTTGGACATGTTGTGAGGAGAGACCGGTCCTTAGAGAGGGACATTATGCTTGGGAGGGTGGAGGGACGGCACAGGAGAGGAAGGCCCTCTATGAGGTGGATTGATTCAGTGACTGGGATAATTGGGATGGGAGTGTCAGAGACAGTGCGATTGGCACAGGCCAGAGCGGAGTTTAGGGCTGTTGTACATAGGGTCGCTCTGAGTCGCAGGCGACTCGACGGCACATAACAATAAACAACATGCCACAGTTCATTAATGACATATTGTATTGTTACACTGTCTATAAGAATACAGACTTTGGGTCATACTCTTGAGTTCCAGTTTCATTTTGTCAGTAATTAGATGTGTACCATGGGCAGGTTGCTCAATTTTCCTGTGCTCCCGTTTCTTCGTCTATAAAATAGGGAGGAAAAGTATATCTTTGATCTGTTAGAATTAATTTAGTTAATGTGTGAATTGTGCTCTGCAGTGACTTGCACTTGGAAAAGCTAAAAAATGTTATCACTGTTGCTGTAAAGTTGATCTTGAGACAGTGAACTCCCCAGCACTGTACCCCAGAATTAGGCAGAGGGTCGCTGTGAGTCGTGCTTGACTCGAAAGCAATCAGCAACAACAACCCCCCACTGGAAAATCTTGACTTTCTTCAGTGATTGAGTATAGTGTGTGGGTTGAGAGGCTGTTAGAATGAAGGAAGAAGGAAACTAGAATTTCTTGTCTATCTAGTGTTCTCTGTTTGCAAAAGGCATGAGGGAGCAGATAGCCAGGAGTATGTAGGGGAAAATCTTCCTGGTGGAAATTGAAAGTGTGGGTGCAGGGGAACTAAGACAAGTAAAATTAAAAGTAAGATGTGCTCCTTAGTAGTTCTGGAGCTATTTTATTGGTAAAAGGATAAAAGCTATTGTTCATGTTCAGTAAAATCATAATTTTGAGTTTTCCCTCCTCTATAGGTACTTCATGATCATCTTCTAAAAGAAACCCCTGACACACTCAGTGACCCACAGTAAGTTGTTTTATTTTGCTGTAACTCATGTTGATTTATTTTTCTCAGATAATCAGGTGTTTCATTTCAGTGCTACTTTTTTCATGAATGTGGTTGTAAATGGAGAGAAGAAAATTACTTGCAAGTTGTCTAGTTGGCTTGCTATTTGACCTGAATTATCTGAGATGTTTCATACTCATTAGATTTTTTTGAGATATTTTAAAAATTTTACAGTAATAGCATAAAATATGGTTGAAAATAGTTGGAGAACTTTGAGTAGTTGTTTTGAAAGAGTACGTAAATGTTCCGTTTACTTTTACTTATATTCTAATCTTAAATATCTTAATATTCTTTCTCTTGAATAAATGTGAATAAATATTGCTGGGACAATTTACTCAGACACATGTTTCAAGTCCTAACTGTTTTTCCATTTTCATGTTAGAAGATAGAGTAAAGCAGTGTGATGTTAAATAATTTGTATTGTCATTTGAAAGCAGTTAAGGTAGATATTTAATGATAAAATTTTTAAAATAGAAGTGTCAATAAATGTCATCTTCTTAATCATTACATATTATTTTTTTTTTTTTTCTCTTCATGTGAAGAACTGTTCCAGAGGAAGAAAGAGAAGCTAAATTCTATCGAGTTATAACTTCTTCCTTATTGGCCTTAAAGAAATTACTTTGCCTTTTGCCAGATAATGAACTTGATTCTCTAGAGGAGAAATTTAAGGTTCTTTTGTCGCATAATAAGTTTTGGAAGTATGGAAAACACAGTATACCTCAGGTATTTCAATCTTTTTTTAAAGACATTTTGTTTCTTTAAAAAAAAAAATTTAACAAGGAACAAACTAAAGAACATTTACTTTTTACTAAGACTTCCTGAAGACATAACTAGATTTTTGTTACTACTAACCCTCTACCTTACTGAAAGGTTAATATATATAGAGTTAAATTAGATAAGAACATTGGAACCAACATTTGACAAAGAATATCATTAAGTCATCAAAAGAATGTTTTAAGTTAATAATCAGAGGAAAGAAGAAAAAAACATTAACAAGGGTTTGAGATTGAACAAAATCCTTACATTTAAGTAATACAGTCTTGTCCTGGTAGAGTGTAACAGAGTGGAAATGTAACAGTTACATTATTAATCTCCCAGTATTACACACTCAGAGTTCCAAGGTACTCAGAGTACCCAGCACCCTAGAGCTTCCAGGCTATTGAGTCTCTTTCCCACCCTCTTAAACCTGTTGATAGAAGAGCCTGTAGATCTTCACTTTAATCCAGGCTTTCTGACAAGACTCTTATGTTGAGTATCAGCTTAGTACTACTCTAGTACCATAGGCCTACCAGATTATCAATAAAATAAAATACTAGTAGAGGGGATTGGTTTCATTTTTTTCTACTTTATACATTTTACAAATGCTTTCCATGCATTCTTTCACAGATTCATTATATGCCCTAGTTCTCCTTTTGGCTTCTTGATAGACTCTACAAACAAAATGATATCAGACGTTATACCACACTCTTCCCTGCCCTCCCTTGCCCTGTTGCTATAGAGTTGGAACAGACTCATAACTGACCCTTCAGTGGATTTTCAGAGGCTGTCTTTCTCCAGAAGAGCAGCTACCTGGTGGTTTCAAACTGTTTGTGTTTGGGTTGGCACCAAAACTCTTTAACCACTTGGCTGTAAAAGCTTTCCCTCTAGCCTTTTTTTTTTTTCAAAAAGACATTCCTCTAAGTTCCCCCCTCCTTTGATTTTGGGGTTTTTTTTTATGTTTGAAACTCAGCAAGCACACTTTTGTAATAATTCAAGATTGAATTATTTCTCTTGCTAGAAGATTGTATTCACATCCCAGAGTTGAATTATATTCCTCTTTTTGTGGTACTCACTGTTTTGTGCAAGTCTTGTTTCATTTAATACATTATTTTACCCCATTTATTTCTTTTTATTGCCATTCTCTACTTGTAGAAGTGATCATTGTATGTGGTTAACATGTCTTCTAGTTCTTGAGATATATGTTGTGTGTATGTGTGCATGTATTTTAAATTAACATAAATGATAGTGTATCTTTCTACTTATTTTTATTTAACACTTCAGAAAGATACATCATGTTCCTATATGTGCATCTGGACCATTGATTCTGTCTTCTGGGTCATATACATGTGTTACAGCTCCATTTTACCTGCATATTTGTTTAGCAATAGATACTTACATTGTCTCTTAACTCTCCATCCTTAAAATATTTCAGCAACAGATGTCTATCATTTTATTGACTGCTGTACTTGGGCCGAATTATTGAGTCAGAGTCTGTATATTAGTATTCTGAAGTCTTGTCAAGTTGTTCTTTATAATGCTTGGATCTCTAAGTCAACAGCAGTATGCTAGCCAGCAGTAGATACTGTTTACCTTTTTCCTAGTTTTTATCAGTCTGAAAGAAACTCAAATGATAGGTCTTTTTTAATTTTAATTACTCTACTAATGATTCCTAGCATCTGTTAGAAACTTTTTATATTTTCAGGTTTCTTTTGTAAATTACTTGTTCATGCTTTTCACATTTAAAAATGTTCTGTGTTTACTCTAGTAGTCTTGGGTTGATTCTGTTGTTACCATTGTTAGATATCGTGGAGTCGACAGTGACTCAGTGAACAGTGGATCTGAACCCTACCCTATCTTGTGTCATCGTCATCTTCATTGTGCCTGATATACTTGAGCCCATTGCTGCAGTCACTTAGTCTTTTTTGTTGAGGGTCTTCCCTCTCCTTCTCTGCCCCTCCACCTTTCTAAGCATCATGTCCTTTTCCAAGGCAGGCCCCTCCTAATAACAAAGCTTTACTTGCTTCCAAGGAGCCCCTGGTTGTACTTTCTCCAAAATGTGTTTGTTCTTTTGCAGCCCATGAGATATTCAGTTCTCTTCTTTAGCACCACAACTCAAAGTTGTTGATTATTCTTTTGTCGTCCTTAAGTCATTGTGAAGCTTTCAATTGTGTAACAAATAATCAGAAAGATTGTAGCTTGAAGCAGATGCGTCCATAGTCTTTAAACTGACGTCATTGCTGCTTAACACCTTGGAGAGGCCCTTGACAGCAAATTTATGCAATGCATTTATCTTGATTTTTTTGACGCCTAGTGCCAGTGGATAGTGGATCCAAACAAAATGACATCTTTGACAACCTCAATCTTTTCTCCATCTATCATGATTTTAGGCATTACAAAGAATTTTTTTTTTGTCACCTGTCATTTGTTTTCTATTAAAAGAAATTTTAATTTTGATCCTGTCAAAATGACTAATGTTTTTCCTTTTACTTATGAAAAAGCCATTCCCACTCCTAAGTCATATTTTTCCCTCGATTTCATCATTATTAGTTTTCACACAAAGTCTTTAATTCTCTGATAGTCTACTTGTATTTGTAATACTACTTAAAGATCTGTTTAACATTTTTCTTCATATATTATGAATCATTTTTCCTAACATCACCTGTTAAGTAGATTGTTTGGCTGAAATAGTAGAAGACATGATTTCTTGTGCATGTTACATCCAACCACAACTAGCAGAGTTAGTCCAGAATATCATAGGTCCAGGTCAGCAGATCAAAGGGGCCTGGTTTCGAAGGAGGAAGGTGGGCCTTTCAGAGTATTCATAGTGATCGAATGGTAATGGAAGTCCTAGACAGGAGCATGCAGTCAGATGTGTATCAGAGGCCCCAGCTTGTGGTGTTGTCAACTCCTGCTGCTGTGGTGTCTGCAGGTGCACATGCTAACATTTATATGGCTTCATCTTTTCAGTTGGACCTAACTCATAGCTGACACTCTGGTTGGTTTTTAGAGTCCATAAATCACACAAGAGGAGATTACCCATCTTTTTCCCTTGAGCAGCTGGTGGGTTTGAACCCCCTACCTTCACACTGGCAGGGCAACTCTTTACCTAGTAAGCTTTATCCTTTGTTGATTCATGGTCCTGCCATATTTGCTACTTTGCTCTTGTTTGTTGTTAAATCAACTTCAGCTCTTGGCGATTCCATGTGATGTTGAATGGCTTTGACTACCCGATCTTTAGTTAGCAGTCCATTTGTACCATCTGGGAACCTTGACCAAAGGTTTAATCCCATTATGGTATGTTGTGTTCTCATATTTTCATAAATGTAATTCTGAAGTCTGTATTCTGATCTCTTTAGTCTCTTTAGTTTCTTGTGTCAGTTAATACAGCTTTATGATTTGTTCTAGTCTCTGGTAAGTCAGTCTTTTTTCAACCTCTTTTTCAAGATAGAAACATAAGTCCATAAAAACACCAGAATATTTACTAGATTTCTCAGAAAAAAAAAGGCTTCATTGGAATTTTAATTTGGATTGTACCCTTTGTAGGATGATTGGAAAAGCCTTACTGTCTCTTACATTAGTCTTCCTGTATATTAACCTCTACTTTCTCTCAATTTATTTAGGGAAAATGTTGAATAATTTTCTCAGAAACAATTCTTTGAAGTATAATTTACATGCAGTAAAATGCAGCCATTTTCAGTGTATAGTTTGAGGAGTTTTGACAGATGAATGTACTACCACAGTCAAGATGTAGAAACAACACTTTTTTAACCTTGCTCAGTCTCTGTCTCCTGTGTTGTCTTCTGTGATTTTCATAATTTTAGGTTTTCACGTTTCTTTGTAGGTTTTCATGCTGCTTTGTGGATAATAATTTCTCCAATAAGAGAGCTTTATGGCTTAGTCATAAGGAATTGCACTGTTAACATAAAGGGACATATGAGTCAAATCCAATAGCTGCTCTATGGTAGAAAAATAGTCTGCTTCTTTTTGTTAGCAGTCTACTTCTTAAAGATCTATAGTCTCAAAAAATCCTAAGATGCAGTTCTGCTTTGCTATATGGGATTGCTGTGAGTTGGAATCTAATCAATGAGAACAAATTATGTTTCGTGTATAAGAAGATCTTAAAATTTTTTTTTTTGTATCTTTTAGTTTTACTAATTGGAAGATTAGTCTGTACAGCCTGTCTTCCATTACCAAATCCCTATGCACATCCAAAAACTTCTCCAACAGGGTAAAAACCCACAGACTGGGAAAAAGTATTTGGTAATGTCAGATAAGAGACTTATATCTAGAATTTATAAAATACTCGAGCTAGCTCTAATAGAGATGCAAATCAAAACTAGAGCTAGCTCTAATAGAGATGCAAATCAAAACAACTATGAGATATCCTCTCACCCCAGTAAGAATAGCAAAATTTAACCAAACAGCAAACAACAAATGCTGGCAAGGTTGTGGAGAAATTGGGAGCGTAAAATGGTGCTACCACTAGGTGCAACCACGGTGGAAGGCGGTATGACTTATTTTCTCAAAATGATAGAAATACCATTTGACCCAGCAATTCCACTACTGGGAACATACCCCAAAGAAATTATAACTGCCACCCAAGCAGATATATGCATACCCATGTTTATTGCGGCTTTGTTCACAATAGCAAAGAGTTAGAAACAACCTAAGTGCCCATCAACAAACAGATGGATAGAAAAGCTGTGGTATATTCACACAGTGGAATACTACAATGCATTAAAAAGCAAGGAACTCATGAAATATTATTCAGAATGGGTGACCCTGGGACATTATGCTGAGTGAAATATTTCAGTTACAAAAGGACAAATACTACATAGTACCACTGTTGTAAAACAGGACTGTCCTCGGGGTTGGGTGGAGATTGAGAAAGATGGGTTCAATAATGTATGCTGTATTGAAACAGATAAGGGAGAAAACTGTTTAAAAGAGATATGTAATTATCTATTAGTGTCATGACAGGAGTCCAGATTGAAGGCTGAACAGTGGTGTGGACTTGGGGGAAGGGATTGTATAACAATGAAAGAATTTTTCTTTTAATTTTCCAAGAGAGGAGCAAACTGGGGAGGAGGTTGAGCAGGGAGAAAAGTGCAACAATGAATGAATGGAAATCCAAAGTCTCTGTAAACTTTCATTAAAATTAGTTAAAAAAGAGAAAAAAAAATAGCTTATTGTAGTATTATTACTAGTTTTCATTAAGTTGGCTCCAACTTGTGGTGACCATATAGATAAAAAACTGTTGAATTCAAACCAAAGCACAACTGACCCCTTCAGCAGGTTTTCAGAGGCAGTAATCACATGGGAGGTGATTGCCCATTTTTCTTTTGAGGAGCAGCTGATGGATTTGAGCACCTGCCTGTGGGTTGACAACAGAAGTCCTTACTAGATCATTAGAACTCTCTGATCATATAAATAACAGAACAAAATATTGCCTGATGTAGTGTGTTGCAATGTGTGGGATTCATCTTCTAACACTATTAACACTTCCAACACTATTGCAGACAATACTCTTTTGTGAGCCATAAAGTTTCACAGATTAATTTTCAGAGGTTGGTTACCAGGACTTTGTTCTTAGCTGGCTTAATCTGGAAACTGCTAAAATCTGTTTCCCTTGGGAAGTGGTGCTGGTGTTCAGTCAGTGCTGTCAAGCTGATTATGACTCACTGGGACCCTGTGAACAATAGAGCTGAACCCTGTTCACTCCTGTTCCATCCTCATTATCTCTGACATCCTTGAGCCTGTTGCTACAATCACTGTCGATCTCTTTGAGGGAATCTTCTATTTTGCTGACCCTGCACCTTTCCAGGCATGACGTCTCTTTCTAAGGAGTGATTTCTTCTGGTAGGATTGATTCCTTCTGACAGGATGGCCAAAGTATGACGTGAAGCTTCACCATCCTTGTCTTTAAGGAGCATTTGGTTGCCATTTTAGAGACATATTTGTTCTTTTCGCAGTCCACTGTTCTTTTGGCAATCCATGGGATATTGAAAACTCTTCTCCAACACCAGAACTCAAAGGCATTGAGTCTACCGTGGATGAGCCTACTGGTATTTGAACTATTGGTGTTACAGCTTCACATAGCCATCATAGTACAATAAAGAGAAGGACAGAGGTGAATGATAGTTTTACTGGGTTTTCATTTAATTCAGCTTTCTATTTCTTCTTTCAGATTCGCTCAGCTTATTTTGAATTGGTTTCCACATTGTGCCAGCGTATTCCACAGCTGATGAAAGCAGAAGCATCCAAAGTGAGCCCGTCTGTCTTACTTAGTATTGATGATAGTGACCCCGTAGTATGCCCAGCACTCTGGGAAGCTGTCCTTTATACACTGACCACCATTGAGGTATGTAAGAGGGGGCTGTTGAGGACGCTTGGGGATATTTATTGACTCGGTTGTATTTGAGAAGCCCTAGATAAAATACTAGGTAGATTTTATTTATTTATTTATTCATTCATTCATTTAATTTTTATTTTTATTTTTGTGTGAGTGTACCGTCAAATCAGATCTGACTGGTACAGGAGGAGATTGTCCCTCCTTTTCCTGGCAGAGCATCTGGTGTATTCGAACCTTCTGCCTCTGGGATTGTAGTTGCAGCTCCTTGCCACTAGGCCACCAGAGCTCCCCCTACTAGGTAGATTTTATCAGCTTATGTCCAACACTTGAAAAATGCTTTCTTGGATGTGGAATGTTTCTTGGATATGGAATGTAAAACCTGGAATAAGTCTTAACGTGACTAGAATTTTTATTTTACATGTCTAACTAACAGTACGTATTCTTTACAATATGTGGAGCCCAGTATAATTAGCATCAGTGAGTCATATATGTAGGATTAAATGGTACTTTAAAAGCAAATTTTATCAGAATCTTTTAAATCAGATAATAATAATCATCAGATAATGATTTTTGTATATTTATATGAATAATATATAAATACTAATATATATAGTAAAACCCCTCAGGGGGAGGGGATGGGATTGCAGGCTGAGGCCTGGAGCCTCCACTTTGGGAGTTTGGCTGCTTGCTTGCATCTTTTTTTTTTTTTTTAATACATTTTATTTTATTTTATTATTTGTGTGTGTGTGTACCATCAAATCAGATCTGACTGATACTGGAGGAGATTTACTCCTCCTTCTCCAGCAGAACATTTGGTGTATTCGAACTGTATACTTCTGGGATTGCAGTGCACCTTCTTGACACTAGGCCACCAGAGCTCCCTGCTTGATTGCATCTTGATGGCAGTCCTGATGGGCATGGAAGGGAAGTTTTTGGGGTCGTGTTTGATGTGTATTACTGCTCTTTTCCCCCTAAGAACAGGTATCCTTGAGCCTTTGCCTAGGGTAGAGGTCTGCTCAAAGGTGTGGCTTTGAATTGAATAGTCCTTAAATGATACAGCAGTCTTCTTTGTATTTGCTGAACTGAACAGCTTGATGTTGCTGTGATGCTGCACACTATTCCACAGTCTTGTCAAATACTGTAATGGTTACCCATTATGTACAATGTTTAGATGAGCTTCCAAATTGATTTATGCTGGGAAGCAGGAGTGTCATCCACTTCCTAAACTAGATGGCTCTGCAAACTCTCTAAACTATAAATGTATAGAAATGATGTTAGTTACAGAACAGAGTTCAGGTCTTTTGTGCAAAACTTAACCCTCAGTTGTATTCGACTTGACGACACTTAACCACTGCTAAGTGAAACTAGTGCTGTTATATCTGGAGGAACACTCTTCCACTTTGTACATCACTGTTTGTCAATGTGCTGTATGAAGTAACCTGGGTTGCTGTGATGCTGAACCTTGTACCA